ATAATTGGAATCCCTGGAGGGGGCAGCCTGGCACTCACCTGGAACAAGGTGTTGGCACCTTGCAGCCTGGCAGGGCTCAGAGGAGCCACGGGGCTCAGGGTGCTCCAGAAATGGATGCTGGAGAGCAGAGGGCTGGGAGTCAGCAGGATGGGAGTCTGAAAACCAAAATAAAATAAAATAAAAAATAAAATAAAACCAAAGAAAACATCTGTGAGAGCCTTTCCCCAGTGGAATTCTGTGAAAAAAACATTTTTTTTGTGGAGATTTGGAAAGGCTGAATAAAAGATAATAAAGGATGAACACGTTCAGCCACACAGTGAATCAGAAAATCAGAAAACACTTCTTTAAATGCATCAAGCTGATGAATATTCATAAATCCTCATGCATTATTCAAAATCACCTGGAAATCAGCTCGGGGGCACTCCCTGATAATGGAGATCAATAAATCCCTTCCCTATGTTCTGGTGTGATAATCCAAGAATGTGAAGAATTTCCTGATTATCCTTTTTTTTTTTTTTTTTTTTTACCATTCTCTGAGTTAGTTACATGAACAAAAGGTTTTTTATAAATACCATGTCATAGTCCAAGAAAAAAATATGTATTTATTTGTATTTATATGTATTTATATGTATTTATATGTATTTATATGTATTTATCACACTATTATTTTTAAATTTTGCTAATAGCAGAACTAAAAGAAGCTGAATTCATACAGCAAAGCTTTTCAACATTATACATTTATATTATATATATATGTATAATATATATTATATATACAAAATTACACATGTAGTATTCATTTTAATATTTGTAAAAATCCAATAATATAAGTGCTTATATATATAACAATTAGCATATAACAATATATATAATATGTAATACATATAAAAGATATATTTATATGTATTTTATATATATTGATATATTTCTATGTTTATATATTTCTATTGTATATAAAATATATGTTATTTATATTATATATAAAAATATGTATATAATATATATTATATATGAAATATGCATGTTATATATATATTATATTAAAATATGTATATTTTTTATATATATGTATATATACAAAAATTAAAAATAGAATAATTCCAACCTTTCCCGTGGAATTCCAGCCACAGCATCCCCTCAGCTGCTGGGATTTCAGGAACTCCCATCCCCTCCTTCTTCCTCCTCCTCCTCCTTCCTCCCTCCCTTTGCTGAGCCAACCCTTTGCTTTTTTTTATTTTTTTATTTTTTTCCCAAATCCTGCTGGAAGCCACACCTCCAAATCCAGCACCTGCACTCTGGGAAAGTGAGATATTCCGGATTTAAAAAAGAAAAAAAAAAATACAAATTAAAAAATTGCTCCTGATGTCACTGACAATGCCAGCAACAACAAAAGGAGTTTCCATCCAGCTCCTGAAATTCCAGGTTCACCAGCCAAGCACTTCCCAGGCTGCCAAAAGAACAATTCCACTTGAATTTTGGTTTTTTGTTTTTTTTTTTTTTTTGTTTTTTTTTCTCCCCTGTCTTCATCCATTTCAGTTTTCAACCAGCAGCTTCCCCACGGTTTCACTCTAATTCCAATTTATTGCAGGGGAGAGATGACACAGATAGGGAATGATTTAACAGCCCTGCTGGATTCTGTTCTCTTCCAAGTTTTCCATGAGACATGAAAGCTTTCCTTTCCCACACAAAGATAAAAACCAAATTAAGCAGCTGCTCTTATTGCTGCCTGCTCACAAGACTTTGGCTTTCACTAAATGCTACTAAGTGAGGAAAAAAAAAAAAGAAAGCTGAGCAGACACCTCTGTGGGTCTGTGTTTTTGAAGGATTTTCAGGCTCGGGTGAAGGATTTAGGAATAATTCAGTGTCCCCCCCCGGCAATGTTTATAAAGATCCTGCTGGAGCTGCTCTGGGTTTTGCCTCCACATGCCCAGCACCTGGGCACACTTTGGGGCTGAATTAACACCACTTTGTGAATCAAACTTGTGTTTGACTGAAAAAAAAAAACAAAAAACCCAAAAAAAAAACCCAAACCAAAACCAGGGAGGGACATCCCGAGTTTCAAATCTCTGCACACAACCAACTATTCATTCCCCACTTGCCGTTTTCAAACGTAACATCATCACTATTGTTATTTTCAAAGAAAAACAAAGAAAGCGAGGAGGGAATTTGATCACCTGAGAGAAAAGTGCTGGAGTAAGAGAAGCAGTGGGGAGAGAAGGACTCAGGATGCCCAGAGGACTCGGATCACTGCCTGTGATCACCAGAGTGGGAGCCAACTCCAACCCTTTGGGTTTTTTCGACCTGGAGAGGTGATTGGCAAATTCTTTCTCCAGCACGGCCGAATCCTGCTGCTCCTTGGGCTCTGGGGATTGCTGCTGGAGGCTCTGGGGCTGCTCCAGCTGCTGGGAAGCCACAGATTCGATGTCCGTGTCAATGTCCAGGTCGGGGTTGGAGCTCAGGGGAGGCGAGGGGGGCGTGGAGGGCACCTGCAAGGTGGGAGAGACGGAGGACGACATGGGAGGCGTGGGGGTGAAGCCGGTGCTCAGGTTGGGCAAAGGCGCTGCAGGAGCCTCGGGGACGCTCAGCTTGGGCAGCACCAGCGTCTCCAGAGTGTGCAGGGTCTCCTCTGAGCCCAGGGCAAGCGAGGACGACACGCTGGGGGTGACAGAAACCGTGGAAGTCACGGCCACGGCCGAGGCGGTGGAGACCAGGGGGGCGCTGGGAGGCTTTTTGGAGGGCATGGTGACAAATTTGATGACAGAAGGGGTGGGGTCCTGAGGTTTCTTCTCTGCCAGCTTCTCGGCCGGGTTCTCGATCTTGATGGACCTGAAGAGCTTCACGCTGGAGGAGTTGAGGGAGTTGAGGGTGAAGGAGGAGTAGAGGCCTGAGTGGATGTAGTCATTTCGGCTGGAGGACTTAGCACACGACTGGGATTTCTCCTTCCCGCAGTTTTCCACGTCCTTGGCAGCACTGGTGACCTCCCCAAAGCCGGGCAGCTCCGGGTCCCCCTCGATCCTGCCCACCACGAGAGGATCCATGTTGAGGATCTCTGGGTACGACACGAATTTGTACACAAACTTCTTCCCATTCACCTTCTTGATGATATTCTAAGGGGGGGGGGGGAAGAAGACAAAGTATATTTAGACCTTTCTTCAGTTTAATTTTCTTCCTACAAACACTGCCTAAAATAGGCAGAGGAATTAAAGTCTGTAATCTTTCAGCCGAAAAAAAAAAAAAAAAAAAAAGAATGTTTCTTTTTTTTTCCTGTTTTTAAAAACACCCTGCATGTTCCAGTGCTGCTTCTGGAGCTGGCAGACAAAACACTGCAACAGGTGAGCTTAAACATACTAAAAACAGCCAAAAAAATCCTGTTTAACATCTTCAATTAAACCAAGATTGCCCATTACCCCCATCAAGGATCACTGAGCTGGGTACACTATGGGTAATTTAACAGTACAACTTGCAAAAGGGTTTCTCCAGGACTGCAGAATTGAGAGCTTGTACTTCAAATCAAACCACCTTTATTCTTAATAAGATGATAATAAAGGAAAATAAGCAGCTGAACTCGTCAGCAGAATGCAGGCATTATAATCAGTTATTTCAATACCACAGAACAGCATCTGTCAAACTCGTTCTGCTCCTCAGTAAAATGCCACACTCACTTTGGATTTGGGATTATCCTTATTTATCATTCCCTGATTGTTGCTGAGATGTCTCAGTACAGATTTGTGCCACCCAGTAAAGAACAGCAGCAACCTCCCACCTGCTGCAGGCTCCTCAGAAACTGGGGGTTATTTTTATCTGCTCCACTCACACACGAGCGGCCGTGGGATAAAGGGAAACAAAGGTGAGACTCCCAAAATGTTGGATAAACAAAAGCTTCTTAATCTGCTGGGCTGAAAACAGTGGTCAAACTGAAAGTGAAATTCTGAATACACGGAGAAAGTAAAAATATTATTGGGCTGAGAGATGTTTATTTTGAAAGAAACGAACATAAAGAGAAAGCTGCAAAAAGAGGTGCAATATTCGTGCTCTCCATCATCATCCTCTCCCAGTGCTACACCCGGAGTGATGAGGATTTTAACCCTTGCAAGGCTGTGTGTTTTTGGAAAGGGGATTAGGATCCAAAAGCAGATTTGCACAAAACCACCAGAACCACCCGAAACGAACCAACGAGGAGGAAACAGCGCAACGATAAAACCGAATTAAAAACCAAACCAACACCTTTAAACAAAGCAGCCCAAACTTCCCTTCGAGCTGGCAGAGACACAGCAGTGCCACCCCCTTCCCCTGGAGGAGGGGAGGGCAGGAGGAAACAAAGCTCCTTAGTGAGAGGGCCGAGGATTGGAGCAGCATTTCCACCCTACCTTCACGTAGTAGTAGCGCAGCGCCCGGCTGAGTTTATCATAGTTCATGCTGGGCTTGTTCTTGCGGATCCCCCAGAGCCTGGCCACCTCCTCTGCCTGCAGCAGCTTGAATTCCCCGTCGTTGGAGGTCCAGCAGATGATGTTCTTGTTCTGGGGCTCTTGGAGCAGCTGGAGGAGGAACTGCCACAGGGTGATGGCACTGTCCATAGCAGAGAGCTGCAATGCACAGAGGGCAGGTTAAACCCCCAGCATTTCCCTCCTCTCTCTCTCTCTCTCTCCCTCTCCCTACAAGGTGGGTTGGGGGAAGAAAAAAAAAAAAAAAAATGGAGCAGGGATTGTTATTTCCAAAGCCAGCAAGAGTAAAAAATTATTAGTCACCAGTCGTGAAAGATGTTCCCTGCAGAACTGAGGGGCTGAGTGCCAACTCTGGCGTCTCCTCCCACATGTCAGTACTTTTCACATGGGTTATATTTAGCCTCATTTAACTAAATCAGGTCACTTTGGGTAAGTTGCAGTGAGTCACTACCCCCAAAAAAAAAAAAAATTTGTTTCCAAGTTGTTCCATGTTCCCCCACTCTGGCTTGTGCTGCTTTGTGAGGAACAGCTCAGGTAGAGCCAGGTAAGGATGAAACCACCCCCTCACCTCCTCCTTTCCCTGCTCCCACCTCGGAGGGAACACAGCACAACGAGGAACTGCAAAGCTCCAGGAAGATGCCACGGCAAAAACAACTCAATTTTCCCTCAGTTTCCATTCCTGCCCTCTCAATCACCCCAATCTCTCCTTCGTATCTTTCTTTTCCAGGTATCGCCTCTGTTTGTTTTTTGTTTTTTTTTTTAATGAGAGTAAACATGAAACTAAATTTACATTAAAATTCAAACACTGCTTTTGCTCAGCTGTTAATTCCTGCCACGTCTTACCCATGTCAATGATTTAGGCTGGGACTTTCTAGGACTGATATTGGCCAGTTGATTCCTGCTCTGAAGTTGTTGATGCATAAATTCATCAAGGACAGACCAGGCAGAGAGATAAAGTTTTACCTTGGCCATATCTGACTACACCAAACAGTATTTTCACAAATATTTTTAAGCAGAACACTCATCATTCTGGATAAGATACAGTGTGAATTAAACCAGATAAAATACTAATTCAGCATCTCCTATAGATTCTCTTAGTCCAGAACTATTTAATTAACGCAGCTTAAACCTCTCCCTGTGAAATAAAAACAGAGCAAAAATGCTCTGGGATAGTGAGTAACACTAAAAACATCTGGATGTACAGAACCACTTTCTTTTTTCCCCTAAATAAAAGGAGTCCAGGGGTTCCATCTGGGTGAATTTGATATGCAAACACTTTTCCCAAGCTCCCAAGCAAAGGCACGAAATCCCAGCCTGAGGGAGCAGGAGCCAGGCTGGTGTTGGGTGAAGTCCCTGTGTACACAGGGCTCAGTTTGAGATCCAGCCAGCTCATCCTTGCTCCCAAAGCCTTTTATTCCAAATCTCATTAGTGCCCAGCACTTATCCAGCCCTATATAAGGAAGGGAACCGTGGCCAGGGGAGAGGCTGAGCACTCAGGGAGCCCTGGGACAGGATTAGAGCTGACAGTTCACACAGGGCTCTCGGGGGAAACGAGGTGCCCCCAGGCTGGCACCTTTTTGGGCACAGCCCGTGGCATTTCAGCCCTATGTGAAGAATCCCTGCCTCATGGCACACAGGCTGATGTCACATCGATCCAGCCAGGTAAATTGCTGCAATTACACGGAAGGATCTCAAAGGGAAGGACACCCACACCCCCTCGTTAGGCTGGCCCTAGGTGCTTTCCCTGTTAATTACTGCACACGTACAACTCCCTGCTTGCCCAAATTAATTGCTCGGCACTCGAAGAAATTGGAGGCTGCGCTTCCAGACTCTTCCCACACTGGCTCTGTGCTGTGCCAGCTGGTCCATACAGGATTTAGGGACCAGGAAAAACACCTTGAAACCCCTCCAGGAACGCCTGGTGTTGCCATTTAACCCCCCCCAAAAAAAAAACAAAAAACCCCAGATTTGGAAAGCCAGGCCTGAGCCTCGTTAGCCACAGGGATGATGCAGCCACACGTGGTGGTGTGGAGAGCACGAGGACTGGGTTCTGCCACCCAGCAGAGCTGTCAGGAGCAGTGAGATGTGCCGAGAGAGAGAGAGAGAGAGAGAGAGAGAGAGCAGGGAAAACGAAGCTGAGTGATTATTCCCACGCTGCGTTTATCTCCAGCACTCCGGGAGCACTGCACCAAACGGAGCTCACTGATGCAACGTGGAAATCAGATTAGCAACAGGATTTCACAGTGGCAAAGGCTTTTTTTTTTTTTTTCCTTCTTCTTCTTCTTCTTCTGCTTCTTCCCCCCACCCCTCCTGCTAAAAATCCACACGGCTTGCATCCCAGAATTGAACTGGTGTTGTCTCACTTCCCTTTAGGAAGTCCCACCTTGGTGTTAATTCCAAGCCGAGCGTTGCTGCCCAGGTCACAGCTGGTCTGGAATCCAGCTGGAGATGCACAGAGCAGCACAAAGCTCTGTAAAATAGCACACACAGAGTGGCCAAAATGATGGAAAATACTAGATATTAAAACACATCAGAAAAAAAACCCAAAAAAACACCTTTCCCAGAGATGAGCTAAGTCGTTCTGAGGAGCATTGACCAAATTTAAGAGTTCAGGCTGCTCAAATCCTGCAGTTTTCCAGCTGGAAGGATCCTCAGCCAAGGGCAGAGCTACAGACTGTACTGGAGTGGGATTTTGATCAAGTTCCTCCTGATGTTTCTGGCATTTGCAGCTTCAGGCGTGTCACGATTCTGTCCATCACTCAGAGGACACACTGCACATCCCCAGCTTGGAAAAGTCTTCTCTAAGAGACATCAAAAGGGTGGAGATTTCAAAAAATTCAAAAGGAGGCCTCACTGATTCCCTGGCTGTCACAGAACAGGAGCTGAGAGAAGCCTGGAATTGTTCATGGATGGGTTTGACTGAATATTCCTCTTTATTAAATATTCACTGCCTTCATCTCCAGGGAATGATGGAGATCCTGCACTGCAACCTCATGGAAACCTCAGAGAAAGGGGGAATATGGAGGGGGTTTTTTTGGGATTATATCCAAAGGGAAAGCCAGAAAACAACCTTGGTCAAAGCACTGGGATCACAGGTGGATTTTGCTCCTTCAGAGTCCAGGAGTGAGTTGTTACCTGGGAAATGTGTATTAGGAGACAATTCTGTGTCTCATTTAACTCTCACCTCATTTAACTTCAGTACCAAAGCTGCTCAGCAGAAGAAGACATAAAAAAACCCTCTTGTTTCTCCAGGAAAAAGCAGAATATAAAAAAACCCGTCACACAGGATGTAAAATTAAAAAGCAGCACAGGTGAGCTGAGAACTTCTCTTTGTCTGAGCACCACCAAACGTGGGGAAAAGATTTTTCCTTCTCCAGCACCTGGGGCAGGAGGCAGCTGCTGCCTTTCCTTGGCACCAACAGGGATGAGAAGTGGCTCAAGAACTCCCTGTCCCACTCCTACCCTACATGACTGAGGGTGAAACGTTTATAAACAGCATTTCAACTTTTTAAATTTCCTCAAAAGGCCCCACTCACCTCCTCTCCACCAGCACAAAAAAAACCCTCCTAAGCCTAAATGCTTTTCCTCCAGGATGAACACACCAATAATTACAGACACACCGCTGCAAAACATCCTTTTGGGAAGGTTCTTTTCCCTCCTAAGAGCCCGTGGAGAAAGGAAAAGGCCTCAGTGGAAAAGGGAATGAGGAGGAGAGGGAAGAGCCTTTCCCCTCCTGCACCATGTGAGCAGGAGGAAAAAATAGTTGCTAGAGGCAGAGGGCAGCTCTGCTTTGTAAGGAGGGAGCTAAAATAGAGCACTATTATTGTCTTGAGATCTTCTCCAACGCCCACGGGTGACCCTGGGAGCCGAGCAGGAGCTGCCAGGGCTGGGCTGCACCAAACCTGAGCCTCCTCCTGCTGCTGCTGCTGCTGCAGGCCGGGCTTTGCAAGGCTCCATCCACAAAAGCCAGGATCTGGGATTTGTCTCTTCTCCTCTGTGGGATCCATGGGATTACAGGGCCTGGAGGTTTGGGTTTTCCTGGAAGGGTGAGGCACTCAGGAGTTTGGGAAGTGGCACAATCGCCCCCGTGGGCAGCAGCTACGCTACAATAAATCCAAATATTCACCCTCTGTGCTCCTAAAGGATCCCTCTGCACGCCCTGGGAAGGGAGTAAAGGCAGGATTAGGGGGGTTAGGCCTGTCCTAACCCCCTCCTTCGAGGTCTTCTGGCAGATTTCCCGTGCTTTGACTCAACACCAAACAATCTCCAATAATCTTTCACCTCCATTTGTTGCAGCAGCCTCTGGTGAAGCATCTGCAGCCTGATGACTTGTGCAGATGGGCTGAATAAAAAGCCTGGCCAGGCCCCCACACACAGGAACAAAGGCCCAGAGGAAAGGAAGGATGTCACAGCCACACAGCAAAGCCATGCCCAGCACGGCTGGGCTGGCAGGGTGACAGATGGGTGACAGTGGCACACACCGAGGGGACAGCCCCCCCCCCCAAAAAAAAAAAAAAAAAGAGGCCGGGGAAGCTGCACCGAGCACAGGAAAACTCAGCCGGACACAGAAGCAGCTTCCAAAATAAAAATGGAAATGAAGGCAGCAACAGGTCTGGCAAAGCTCACGGTGCAGGTGAGCAAATCAAGGCTTCAATTCCAGGAAATTCCAGGAAATTCCAGCAGAGCTGAGCTCGCTGTGATTGCAGCTCCGAGCTGCTCTGCCTTCAACTTCCCAAAGCCATTCCCAGGGACTTTTTTATTTTATTTTATTTTTTTTTTTTTAGCACTTTGGGAAGGCCACGGAGCGTGAGCAGCAGGAATCCTGCAGACAGCACCTCCTGCTCTTGTGCAATATTGTTGTGGACACGAGGCCTTGGTGGCTGTTCCAGGAAAACACAGCTGGGTGAAGGAGAATTTTGGAGGTCACGGGCCCAAATCCACGCTGAAAACCTCAAAAATCTGAGCAGGATTCCCCCCCAACTCTTTGTCCAATTAAATAAATGAATAAATAAGTGAATAAATAAATGGATGTCCCATCCCTTTTATTGTAGTGGCAGGTGTGACACAGCTGATGAAAAATCCAATTAAGTGGTTTATCAAAATCAAACCAAGCACCGGTTTCATCAGCAATATCCCACTCCTAAGAAACCTTTCCTAAAAGCTTTTCCAGCTCCTGGGGCTGTGACTCACCTGAACTGGTACTTTTTGGATTTTATCAATGTTAATTAATTTTAGAAAGAGCCTAGTGTCAAAAAACCCTACAAACCCACTGTCCAAAACTCCATACCCTGATGTGATGGGAAGCACAGCAGGGAATCGGGTCCTTTTCCAGAGCACACACAGGTGAAATTCCAGGTGAAATACAGGTGAAATACCAGGTAAAAGCCTCTTAAATGTGTAAAATAAAGGAATTAAACAAGGAACTCAAACTAGAGATGCACAATTCTACACCTCCCTTAAAAAAATTCCAACCCCTGGCAGCTTTCCAAGGGCTAATCAAATCATTCCATCTCTAACAACCAACAAAAATCAGGGAAAAATAAGGAAAAAGCACCCCAATAAACGCAATAAAATCTTGTTTTCCCCCTGGCTCTGGTATTCCCTGCACCGTTGTTCCAAATCCAGGCAGGAAAATCAGATTATTGTGAAGGAGAAGCCGTGGTTATCAAGGCAGGAAGTTCCTTGGAAGGAAATGCTGAAGGATGTCCTCATGATAAGAGCTGCTCCAGAGTTTTCATTGCCTAATCCCACTCCAAGCCTCTTTTTTTTTTTTTTTTTTTTTTTTTAACTCAAAACAAATGTTGCAATAAATTTCGTCTCTTCTGGCTCAAAAATTTAAACCGCTTGAGACCAAATTAAGGTGTTTGAGCAAATATTTGGGGGGTTAGGAACAAACTGTTTCAGTTTTTCAGTCCTGAGAAAGAAATATTCCTTTTTCTTTGTATTTTCCAGTTTTTCCTCAGTGTTTTCTGGCCTTCCCTGCCTTTCTGAATTAGCCAAGATCAGGAACAAACCATGAAGGACAACAATGACATCAGGATTTCCATGGGGCTCACGGCTGCAGCCTCAGGTTGGCAGCAGATGAGCCAAGGAGCTTTTTGGGGATATTTTAATCCTGACACAGAGAAAAAGGGGCCTCCTTTTGTTATCAAATACGATTTTGATTATCACACCTGACTTTTAATGTTTAACCTGACGGAAAACGGGGGGGGAAAAAAGGGATTTTTAAAGCCATTCTGTGTAATTCCTGCTGCTCCTCCATCCCTGCCTGGGGACAACTCGCAACACTGATTATGGACAGACACAATTTCCACATTTTCATGAGCACACCATCCCTTTCCTAACCCTCTTTTTCTTTTTTTAGGATGTGAGATTTCTTTAAGATTTTATTTATTTATTTATTTATTTTTTTTTTTAGGATATGAGAGCCTAGGGAAGGTTTAGGAACACACAGAGCGGATGGGAAACTTCAAAACCAAAAGGCCTTTGATGGGTTTGTGCCCCTGCTGGGATTGTTCTTGAGTAAGCCATAAAAACTCCGATTTCCTGGAAGCTCCTAAGGAGATTACACTGGCTTCCTCCTCATCTGGGCAGTGTTTACCAACAGCAGATTAAATTGGCTTGTACAGGCACAACCCTCTGCGGGGAGGAGAAGCATCCCCAGCTCAGAGCAGGAATAACCCCAAAGCACAGGTTAAAAATTCCTTCTATGCACGGCGGCTGCATGGATGGAGCAAAGGAAGTGTGATTTCAGCTGGAAAAGCTCCCCTCGAACAATGTTTATGGTACACTCAGCCCCGTTGCCATGGCGATGGAACAACTATTCCCTGCAAACAGGCGAGGAGACCCTAAAAATAAACAGCCCGACCGAAATCACGCACCGTGAGGAATTGAAAATTCCCATTCGGTGGGAATGGGAGCAGCAGAAAAATCCCAATAATGACTGCAAAGCAAATCCCTGCCGTTCTCAGCAGCTGCTCCTTAAAAATTCCGGGTGTTGTCCAGCCCCTGATGGGGATTTTTGGGGATGGAGGTGGCACGCAGGTATGGGATGTGTGTGTGTGTGTGTGTGAGTGAACACCAAATAAAAAGCAGGATTTGCAGGATTTGCATACTTTCCCCTCCGCCTCCCCTATTGATGTGGGCAGGAATCCACCCAGTTCAGACAGGGGAGTGCAGGAGGATGAAAAAAAAAAAATAAAATAATAGTGGTGGAGTGAAGAATTAAAAAAAAAAAAAAAAAAAAAAAAAGGGGGGGGGAAAAAAAAAAAAAAAAAAAAAAAAAAAAAAAAACAGCAGCCATTGGATCCAACCAGCCCTTGGAGCCAAATAACCAAAGCCTGGATGCAAACAGCTGCTGGACTCGACCAACAAAGCCCTGCACCCAAAATTCTCCTGATCTCACCAGCCAATTCCTGGATCTGAAGATTCCCTGCATCCCACCAAGTAACCCCTGGATCCAAACAACCAATTTCTGGACTCATAAATCTCCTGGATCTCACCAAGCAAGTCCCGGGTCCAAACAATCCTTGCACCCAAACAACCGAGCCCCGGACCCCAAAAAACTCCAGGATGCCACCAAGCAATCCCTGGATCCAAACAACTCCTAGACCCAAACAACCAATTCCTGGACCCAAAAATTTCCAGGCTCCCACCAACCAACCACCCAAACAATCCCTGGAGCCAAAAACCTCCAGGATCCCACCAACCACTGAAACACCCAAGCGACTCAGCCCTGGATCCGAACCAAGCCCCGGCCGCTCCAGCCCCGGCTCCGTGCCCGGTGCCAGCACCGAGGGGCGGCCGGGGCAGCGCTGGGGGCACCGCCCGCACCCCGCACCCCGGCCCGCCGCTTCCCCCCCACCCCTCCGCCCCCGCTCACCGAGGAGGAGCCCCGCCGGTGCCCGGGTGCCGTCGGGTGCCGGTGCTGGGCGCGGCCCCCCCGCCGTCCCTCATGCCCGGCCCGGCCACCGGGGCCGCATCCCGGGCGGGCAGCGCGGGGCGGCCGCGTTCGACACGGCCGGGGGCGCGCGCGCGCGTGTGGGGGGACCCTCGGCGGCCGCCGTAGCGCCGCTTCCGCCCACGGGCCCGAGGAGCTCGCGGGAGGCCGCCAATCAGAGCGCGGCAGCGAAAGGCCGCGGGCCAATGGGAGGGCGCGATGCGGGCGAGGGGCGGGGTCTGGGGCGGGGCTTGAGGCGCGGGCGGGACGCGCGGTCCCGGTGCCCGGGCCGGGCCATGTGCGCGGGCCCGGCCCCGAACCGGCCCCGGAGCGACCCCGAACCGGCCCCGGA